CAATGGGTTGCCTCTTGCACGAGACCCGACCAGGGCCCGGGCCTGGGAGGAGCCTGCAATGGAGGTATACGTGTCCTTGACCAGAATTGAACCTGGGACCCTTCAGTTCTTGGGCTGAAGTTCTATCCACTGAGACACACTGGCTAGGGCTGGCCCTTCCTTTCGATGATCTAAGACGAAAGAAACCTTGTCATGACAGAATAATGCTAAAGACAAATGAATCAATCACCTTTGTTATCTCAGGAGTCCACATGAGCTCCGGCCGACATAGCAATACCTGGCAGTGGCTATTTAAAATCTTTCTTGGTACTTAAAGGTACTCTAAAACTCTCACCATCAATATCTGTGTAATGGACAGAAGGTCCCGGGTTCGATTCCCCGTCAGGGCACAGGCCCGAGTTGCGGGCTCGATTCCCAGTGGGGGGCGTGCAGGAGGCAGCTGATTGATGATTCCTCTCATCATGGATGTTTCTCTCTCTCTCCCTCTCCCTTCCTCTCTGGGGGAAAAAAAAAAAAGATAAAAAAATAAATACAGGCAGAGGATACAAATGCATTTCCTTTCGTCTCAGGAGCCCAACTCCGTGAGATGCGGAAGTGTCTTGTGTTTTTTTTTTTTAATGAAGGAGATAATCTGTTTTTATCAAGAGCGACTCAGCCCTTTTTTGCAAACCGCCTTTCAGCTGCAAAAACAGGACCCCGCTTACATCATGTTGGAAAGCAACCACCTCCGGGGTTCCAAGCAACACAGCGATTTCTCACAGCTGAGCTCCCCCACGGCTCTGGGAGGCCGGGTTTCAGATGGCCCGTTCCTGGCCTCCGCGCGGGCCAAGCCCTGGACGAGCCTGCAAGCAGATTGCAGTTGCGAAGCATCCAACGGCTCCTCGAAGTGCTAAGTCCCGTCCCCCCTTGTCCCCCGCACGCCATCACTCACGTCAGCCCCCGGGCTCTCCTGAGTGAGCCAGGCTGATGTTACCCAGAGGAAGCGTGAAACACGAGTGTTTTGCTGTTGTTTTTTTTTTTTGCTTTTGTCTCCGGCAGCCTGAGAAACTATCTCAGAGTCGTTGTTCTCGCTGCATCACTGTTGTGGGCTTAGAAAGGCCGGGGTCCAACCTCTGTCCCCAAAGTGTGGCAGACATGAGGCAGCGGGGAGCCCGGTCCCCAAAAGGCTCGGGTTTGGAACAACGCATTGAAGAATGCGATAGGCGTGTGTTGGCTGGTATTTGCAGAATGCAATAAAAAAATAAAAAAGGGCAGCGGTGGTGGTGGTGAAGAACCGCCTCGTCGGATCTAAAATGGCTCTATTTTCTGTATCACATTCTGACACCATTCCCAATTATCTGGTCCCTAGCCGGTGTGGCTCAGTGGGCGGAAGGGTTGCTGGTTCGATTCCCGGTCAGGACACATGCCCGGGTTGCGGGATCGGTCCCTGGTAGGGGGTGTGCAGGAGGCAGCTGATGGATGTTTCACTTTCACGTGGATGTTTCTCTCTCTCCCTCTCTCTCTAAAAATCAATTAAAAAATCTTTTTCTTTTAAAAAAATATTTTTTATTGATTTCAGAGAGGAAAGGAGAGGGAGAGAGCAACAGTGATGAGACTCATGGATCAGCTGCCTCTTGCACGCTCCACACTAGGGATAGAGCCCGCAACCCGGGCATGTACCCTGACCTGGAATCAAACTATGACCTCCTGGTTCATAGGTAGACATCAACCACTGAGCACACTGGGCCAATTTAAAAATCTTAAAAAAATAAACGTAAGTCCTAGCTGATTTGGCTCAGTGGATAGAGCGTTGGACTACAGACTGAAGGGTCCCTGGTTCGATTCCGGTCAAGGGCACATGCCTGGGTGGCAGGCCCCATCCCCAGTAGGGGGCGCGCAGGAGGCAGCCGATCCACGATTCTCTCTCATCACTGATGTTTCTCTCTCCCTCTCTGAAATCAATAAAAAACATTTAAAGAAAAAATATTGATGCAGGAAGGTTTGATTTTTTTTTCCTTTCACGAAAGAGCTGGGAAATGTTAAACCGTTAAGGCCGACTAGAAATAACACACAATTCCAGGAAGTGTTAAAACCAGATTGAAGTTTTTTTTTTTTTTTTTTTTTAATTCAAACTGACCCAAAGCAAAACAAACTTACATTACAAAGGAAGAACAAAATACAGTATGAGAGGACACACTAGGAGTTATATGAAAGCTCAATTTGGGGGCAGAGGGCCTCATCCCGGTCATATCCTGGGCTGCTGAGCACTTGGGCAGGGCGGTTAGAATCCCCCGGGGTCACAGGCGTTCTCGTCGCTTAGCCTGACACAAGGCGCTCGCTCCCCCGTGTGCCACGTGGACTCTGGCCACGGCCACAGGACACTGGACTCTCTCTCGGAAACACGTCCCGAGCGTGACTGGTAATGACTCAAAGAACAAAACGGTGACGTCGTCCCGACGCACAAGCGCAGATTATTTCTGTCATCAATAGTTTAGAAAGATGGGCATTAAATAATCTAAAAAAAACAAAACAAAAAAACCACTCTCGCTCTGCTGTACATTTATGAACACAAATATTTACAGGGGGGGGCGGGGGAGGGGGGAAACTCGGTTTCAAAAACAGATGAGGTTGGCAGTTCATGGCTGATCATAATCTTTCAGGAGCTGGTTTCTTTGGTGTACTCGCCAGATAGGTTTTTTTTTTTAATAAAGGTTTACGCGGAGGCTTCAATCATAAATTTCAAAAGAAACGTCAAGGATCGCTGACAAATTTGATGCTATTCTGAACATCTCAGTCAAGATTCTGGGAAAAGCGATCGGTTCATTTTTTTTTTTCTTTTTTCTTTCTGAAATGACTCGTTTCTCTCTCCTCACCATGGGACCCCAGGATGCTTCTAGAACAATCCGATTCAAATGCGGACCTGCACATTCACCCCTCCATCCCACGGATTCCTGACCTCCAGACAGTTTTAGTTACTGTGAAATACGCTGATGTGATAGGGAGTCTGTTACCAAAAAACAAACAAACAAAAAAACCCCACAAAAAAACATTCTTTTTAAGTGTCCGGAGAAATCAATCCTCAAACAATAAATAGTGGGGCTTAGACACGTCTTCATTAAATAGAAATTTCAATCGCGGAAGGAGCGCGCATAATTTTTTTTTCTCAAGTCGAAGCAGCGACACGGAACGAAGAACTCGCCTCGGTCTTTCTACTTGGGACCCCCTGACTGGGACTCAGTGGCTTGCTTTGGGGAAACTCTGGGCTGGTTGGGGAAAGAGAATCATTTTAGACTAAACTGATTGAATTAACACACACGTAGGCGGACAGAGGGCCTGCGCGCCCTCCCCCGTCCTCGCCTCCCGGGGCCTGGATTTTACAGGGAGAAGTAAGGTTCCATTCATTCCTGGCTGTGCCATGTCCCCGATGCCTGTGGATGGCTCTTAGCTCCGGCCTCGGTGTTAAAGAACCACCACGCGGCTCGGCTCCCCATGTCCCGAGGGAAGTGAACTTTTCGGAGCGATTTTTACGGGGAAAGGGACGGATCACCCCTTTCGGGCCACCTGGCTGCAGTTACAGGCTTGGGGTGGTGACAAAACCGGCCACACGCTCACGGCTCCCCCATCGGCGACCCCCGAGGCACCCTTTTCCGGAAGGACAAGCCACAGGAGGCCCCCAATTCGCTGTGGCAACAGCTCCCCACTTGGGGACGTAGAAGCAGAGACTCGAACCAGGCCAGCCCTTCCCCGCGCCAACCTCTGATGAGAAACGCGTTACGATGCGTGACTGGGCGTTGCCCAAAGCGCCAGGAGCCATCCTGGGAAGTTGGAAAAGGCTTTTTGGAAACAAAATGACCCGTCAGGCGCGGCACCCACTTCCAAGGGCCTCATCCCGGGTCCCTGCGGCTTCTGGAAGCTTCTGCGTGGTTACGGACGCGTTATCACGCCTGCGTTTTCACGCTGCCAGCCCTATCAACCCAGGAAATAAGGTCCCCGCGGGTAAGGGCTCATCGGCACAGTAGGAGGTTCTCCAGATTCACCAATGCGCGCCGATTAGAGATGTCACCCTTTCGAGGTCTGGCTTAACTGGGGAGGAAAAAAAAAAACCCCAACACAACACAATAAAACGCCATGGAACCGCCTCGAACGATTCCACCATGAGAGCCACAGGGTTTAATACCGTTCGGGGAATATTTTTTAGGGAAAAATGCTCTCCCACCCGGAGATGAAATGTTCGGCTCCATCCACGTGGGGGAAAGGACGGAGCCCTGAATGGAAACGGCGACCCGGGGGACTCCGGCCCCGCAATTCACACGGAAGTGGCAGTGCTGGTGGCCGTGGCATGGGGAACATCAAGCGAGATAATGGCCCAAAGACACCCGAGAAAGCACTGTCCTGCACCGGAGGCGCTTTAGAAAAACAGAAGACAGAGGCTCTAGAAAGTGATTTTCTCTCCCGTTAGGTTTTTTTTTTTTTTTAAAGCACTATTCCCACAGAGACTCGCGGAGGCCCCGTGTTTCCGGGTAGTGTCCTGCGATGGTTAAGAAAAGTAAGTTAAAAACAAGAGCACGCTCCCCGGGAATAGAGGGGTACTGGGGTTAGGTCCCCCCCACCCCCCCAAAACCACCGAAAGCGACGGGAACTAGGAAAGGAACCGTTCCAAACAGCCAATCTGTATTCATTAAAAAAACGAACGAGGGGACAGGAGTACTTACAAAATTTCGGGGGGAGGAGGGGTGCATTTGCCAGTAGAACCCAGAACCCCGTCCTGGGTGGGACGAGGACTCCCAACGTAAACATGTGCTCTGCTGGTTGGTAACAGGCACAAGCCCATGAACCCATAACACTGGCAAAGGGCGGATTCTCCGCTCCAAGCCTGCTCGCGACGTTTGGGGGTGGGGGTGTGGGTGTGGGTGGGGGTGTGGGGGAGAACAACCACCACCCCACAAGCTTTTGTGAGTGCGGCATCGGAGAGAAAGCTTGGACCTCTCAAACCTGGACCAAGAAACCAAATTAAGACCGTCAAGCATGTGGTGTGTTTATAGATAGATATATATATAAAACCAACAACCCCTCCCGTACAACGAAAACCAACCGAACAAACGAACGAGAAAATAAAAAAAACAAACAGAAAGAATAAACATCTAAAAGTGTACACCTGCTTTCTGACTTCTCGGCGGATCAGAAATTGCATAGGATATACTTTGTGCAAGGCGAACGGCCTTAGGGGTATCTGGGACAGAGCGCCCGGCCCCGCGCCCGGGGGCCTGTGTCTGTCAGATGCCGTCGAATTTGTGTTTTAAGTAGTCTTTTATGACCTTGGCAATGGGGAGGTCGTCAAGTAGCTTTAGGTTCTGAAGGCCTATACACTGTCGGATTTTAATTCGGCACAGGTCCTGCAAGTTTCGGGGCTGCCCTAGAAAGACAGAGAAGAAGAAAACACGTTTACAAAGCAGAATATTTAAGGCGGGCTTTTTAGGTTCTGAAAATCACTGGGTGTTTTGGTTTGTTGTTGTTTTTTTAAAAAATATGTTTTTATTTTATTTTTTAAACAGATATTTTTATTGATTTCAGAGAAGAAGGGCGAGGGAGAGTGAGAGAGAGAGAAACATCAATGAGAGAGAATCATGGATCGGCTGCCTCCTGCACGCCCCCAACTGGGGATCGAGCCCCCAACCCGGGCATGTGCCCTTGACTGGAATCGAACTTGGAACCCTTCAGTCCGCAGGCCGGCGCTCTATCCACTGAGCCACACCAGCCAGGGCTTTTTATAGTCTAGATCAGCGGTTCTCAACCTGTGGGTCACGACCCCTTTGGGGGTTGAAAGACCCTTTCACAGGGGTCGCCTAAGACCATCGGAAAACACATAAATAATTACATACTGTTTTTGTGATTAACCACTATGCTTTCCTTATGTTCAATTTGTAACAATGAAATTGGGGGTCACCACAACATGAAGAACTGTATGAAAGGGTCGCGGCATTAGGAAGGTTGAGAACCGCTGGTCTAGATAAACATCTTTTGTACTGGAAATATGTTCTCTTCGCCAGCTTTCATAGTCAATGGTAACGCTGATGAGAGCTCGCACACGTAGAATGCTTACGCTGAGCCATGGATTCTGACAAACCCCCGACACACAGGAACTCCTTTAATCCTTTTACGAGGGGAGGACTTTGATCATCAGCCCATTTCACAGACTCCGGCTGTCTGAGGGATTAGGTAACACCCTCCAAGTCTAGCCGGGAGCCCTGGTTCAGCGGTTCTCAAACTTCTCCGTCCCAAAGCCCCAAAGCCGCTTCCTACGTTCCCAGATGCTCAAGCTCCCTAAAGAACTTCTGTGTTTAGGGTAGGGCTGTATCGAGCGGTTAACATCCCTGTCTGAAGCTATGAGACAACGTTTAGAAAGACTTCTTCGTTCTCTTAGAAGCAACGGCAAGAAACCCCATGACGTGCGAACAGAAACCTCGCGGCTGTGAAATGAGCAGGGTGAAGCGAGGAGGATGGCTCGCGTTCACGTCTTATCAACACCCGGGAGCGCCTGGCTGGATCCCCACCGACGCGGCCGCATCCCACCCGCCGGGAAGCGGTCACGTCATCTGGTCTCTGGAAACGTCCCCTCACACGCAGGGGAGAAGGAATGTGAGCCAGGCAGCGCACGTCTCGGGGTGAGGACGAGCATCACTCTGACCTCAGATGCCCTGAGAGGGTCCGGGGAAGCCCAGCGGCCCCCAGGCCACACGGGGAAGCCCAGCGGCCCCCAGGCCACATGGGGAAGCCCAGCGGCCCCCAGGCCACACGGGGAAGCCCAGCGGCCCCCAGGCCACATGGGGAAGACCATGGGGGGCCACATGGGGAGGACCATCGAGCTGCTTAGCACTTGAACCTGTGCTTGAATGGTACTCGGCTGTCTAGAGGGATCAGCACTGTTGGAAAGTAATTCTTTGTGAGGACAAAAGGCTCCTTCAAATTCAGGCCTCTGTTCCGGAAGGCCCACAGAAACACGCGTTTTCCAAGAGTTACTGAACACATACGTGCAAGGGCTTTTAAAAGAATCACAGCAGCCCGGCTGGCGTGGCTCAGTGGTCAAGCATCGATCGACCTATGAACCAGGAGGTCACAGTTTGATTCCCGGTCAGGGCACAGGCCCGGGTTGCGGGCTCGGTCCCCAGTGTGGGGCGTGCAAGAGGCAGCCGATCCACGATTCTCTCTCATCATTGCTGTTTCTATCTCTCTCCCTCTCCCCTCCTTCCCCCTCTCTGAAGTGAATAAAAACACATTTAAAAAAACAAATCACAGAAGTGACAGATTCCCTAGAAAGATTTATAAATTAGGAGCAGGAGCATCTACAGAGGTTTGCACTGGATCTGTGTGGCTACGAGACACACAGACACGACACCCCCCCCCCCCCCACGTGTCTCCCAGCAAACTCCCGCCTTCCCCGCCTCCCACCCTCAGGGGTGAGGAGTGAGGTTCCCAGCAGACGAGCTCAGAGCTCCGCTGGCGCGTAACAAGGTTGTGAACGGGCCACACCCCATGCCCACGAGGGCAGGACCGTTCTGGCTGCCCGTCAGCCCCGTGCCGGACATAGCCCTCCACCAACGCCGGCCGGGGGAGCGAATGAGTGGATGAGTGCTCTGTAGGTGGGTCCCTAACGTAGAAACCGGCCAGCTCATGGCAAGACACGCCCACGCCGAGAGCAAATCGTTTCCTAAGCGGTGCTGGGTGACTTGGCATCGCCATGCACAGGCTGCCATTAGCAAGAGGATAAGCGATCGCTGCCATTTTTTCAATAAGTGCTTACGACACTTGACCCGACACTTGACCCGCACGTGTACACCAGCCAAGGAATCTTCCTTAAAACACACACACACACACACACACACACACTTCAGAGAGGAAGGGAGAGGAAGAGGGAGAGGGAGAGGGAGAGAGAGAGAAACATTGATGTGAGAGCACAGCGGCGATCGGCTGCCCCCTGCACGCCCCCTGCTGGGGGATCAAGCCGGGTCGCCCTGACTGGGAATCAAACCAGCAACCGTTCGGTGCAGGAACGATGCTCAACTGCTGGCCAGGGGCAGAATCTGAGTTTTTAAAGCCTTCCTGACCCTGTGGGACCCGCTGCCTGCAGAAGGACCATTCGTGACAGGGGCACACTCCCCATCGTGCCCCAAGCATCAGGCCTCCAGCCCGTCCCCCGGCGTCCTCACCTGGGCACTGAGGACACCGCCACCTGCACCACCGGCCCGACAGGCCGGACACGAGTTCACCCGGGTCAAGGGCTCAGAATAGCACCGGGCACACAGGAAGAGCTATCCACGCCTTTAAGTACACAGACGCTCAAACAGTCCTATTCAGAGGCTCGTAAAAAACCATGTTTGCTTCTCCCGCCCGGGAGAGGGGGAGCCAGAAGGCCCTGTCCGCCCGGTGCTCCGAGGACAGTGCGGACGGTAAAGGTGCGAGCGATTCGTAACCCGTTGCTGGGAGCCGGTCCCGGGCCGACGGATGGAAAGCAGATTCCGGAAATCGCCGCATGGCTTGAGTCAGGGAGTGAGAACACTCTCTGTATACAAAGAGGTGCAGCCCTGGCCGGTGTGGCGCAGTGGATAGCGCGCCAGCCCGTGGACTAGAAGAGTTTCGGGTTCGATTCTGGTCAAGGGCACGTACCTCGGCTGCAGGCTCGATCCCCGGCCCGGGACCCTGGTCGGGGTGCGTGCAGGAGGCAGCCCATCGATGTGTCTCTCTCACATGGATGTTTCTCTCTGCCTCTCCCCCTCCCTTCCACTTTCCCTAAAATAATCGATGGGAAAATATCCTCGGGTGAGGATTCACACAAAATAACAAGCTGTGCAGCGATGAAGGGAGGCGGATCGTTACCCCACTGCTCCATCCGCACAGGCACGGACGCTGGCTCATCTCGCCCGGTACTAGCGCTGGGCGACAAGCAGGCGAAATAATAAATAGCAATAAGGGCTACTCATTGTAATTACTGTTACTGCTAAGGTTAAGGAGCTGCCCCCCCGCCCCGCCCGAATACAAATTTGGGAATAGAAAATTATGATTGAAAAAAAAAGACTTATTTAAAAAAAAAAATTTTTTTTTAAATTGATTTCAGAGAGGAAGGGAGAGGGAAACATCAATGATGAGAGAGAATCATGGATCGGCTGCCTCCTGCACGCCCCCTAGGGGGGATGGAGCCCGCAACCCAGGCATGGGCCCTGACCGGGAATCACACCGTGATCTACCTCCTGGTTCATAGGTCGAGGCTCAACCATTGAGCCACACCAGCCAGGCAGGGCTTATTTTCTTGAAAGTATTTAGGGAACACCTACTATGCGCTCCAAGACGCACTGCCCCAAAGATGAAAGGGGCGAGGAGCAGGCAGCAGCAGAGGAAAAGAGAGCTGAAGAGGAGAAAAGGGATGGAAGGAGAAACTCCACACACACACACACACACACACACACACACACGCACACGTGCACACACGCTTTTACGAGGTGTCTTAGAAAAGGATCCCTACCCTGTTACGTAACAACGCGGGGCGGTAACAGCGGCCTGCCTGTCCCCGGGGGACAGCGCACAAAAGAACATAATTGACGGAATTATTGTAACACTTTGGGGATGCGTCCAAGTACAAGGTAGCCGTGCTCGTGAGCTACAATGGGATTACGCCACAGTTCAAAGGGGCTGTCGGCCTCTCCCCCGGGGAGGAAGCCCGTCATTAGCGGTAATGGGGCTGGTGCTGGTGCGAAGTAGGAAGTCGGCTTTTGAAGGGCCTGGTCTGGCCTGAATTACAAAACCGGGGCGGCCGCGTCGTTTGGAAAATTAAATCTCCCCCAGCCCGCCTTTTGGCGCTGCCATTCCCGGATTCAAGATAGACCTCAAGTTACTTATCTGGACAAAATATTCGTGGAAGTGGACAGAGAGGGCCAAACCTTTGCACGTAACGTCACCCAAAGGGGCGAAATAAAAGCAAAATAGGGTTCTTTTCTTTGGGGAAGAGGCGGGGAGAGACGGAGATGGAGAGGAGGGTGTAGAAAACAAACAAGCAAACAACGAAAAAAAAAAAAAAGCCAGAAATAAACAAAGAGAAAGCCTCCGCCCCTCTGGGTGGCTTAGTACAATCTGACTGGTCCTTCAGGCACCTCTGCATCCCGCCGACATCTGGAACGGCCTCCCAGTACCTGTGTCTTTGTGTCTTTGCTTCAGGGCCTCACTTTAACATCCTCCCCAACCCCACTGCGTCCCTCCTGCTCTCGCCTCCGAATTCCCTTCCCGGGGACTGGGTCCGAGCTGGGTGACACCAGACTTAAGGCTGTAAAACAAAGGCGGTGCCTGGCTGCCTGGACAGAGAGCCATGGCGCTGTCAACTAGGAGGCGGCTCTGGTTCAGCCCTCGGCGCGGCGAGACTCCCAAGGCACCACCTCAGCCCCGATGACATTCGTCCACAGGTGACATTCTTTCCCACGGGGACATGGCTTTGGGCTATATTTGCGTTTTTGTTTTTTAATCCTCAACCCAGGATATTTTTCCACTGATTTTTTTTTTGGGGGGGGAGAGTGGATGGGAGGAAGGAGAGGGGAGAGAAGAGGGGAGAGAGAGTGGGAGAAGGAGAGAGAGAGAGAGAGAAATATCGATGTGAGAGAGACACACTGATTGGTTGCCTCCCATATGCGCCCAGACTGGGGCCGGGGATCGAGCCTGCAACCGAGGTGCATGCCCTTGACCAGAATCCAACCAGGACCCTTCGGTCCACAGGCCGGCACTCTAACCACTGAGCCAAACCCACCAGGGCTGACCTGTATTTTCCATTTGCACTAAAGCCAACCAAAACCATACGCTGCTTCCTGGCAAACGGCAAGAAACCTCTAGAAGCTTACATTAAAAATAGAAAGTAATACAAATACGATGAAAACAGCCCAGGATAAGGTACTACTTTTACACCAAAGAACCTTAAAGTGGGGTGTGATCTGACTTAACACTGTGTGCTGCTTCTTTGTTTGTTTATTTCTAAAAGTGATTTTAGTCACTGAGGCAGACATGTAGATGTCTGGCAAAATCCCCAACAAGGAAAAAAAAGTAAATGATCGAAAATAACCTCAGTTCAAATGAGCTACGCAAATCACTGCTCCGAAGAGTTACACTAGGTAACTCTGTTTTGACAAGTCATCCCGCAAGAAAATTCCAAGAAACTGATTAGAGGATCATTGGAAAATTAATGAAGAAAAACAAAACCAAATAAACAAATGAATAATCATTTGAAAGGAACACAGGAGTCAGGCCCGGGCCGTGGAAGCGATGTTTTACGTGATCATCTGCCCGCATACCCGTCGGGACTGGACTCAGCTGAGATGAGCCTCAGCCTACATTTCATTTTCTTAGTATTTTTTTTTAAAAAAAGGAGTCATGATTGGTATTCCTACTTTTTGTGTGTGTGTGCGCCCTTGACTGGAATCGAACCCGGGACTCTCCAGTCCCCAGGCCGGTGCTCTATCCACTGAACCAAACCAGCTAGGGCTATTTCTACTTTTTAAAAGTCTGATTCCCGCCCCCCCCCCCCACCCCCCCCCCCCCCCTAAAGTTTAACTTCTGCAGCGACTGACATTTGAACAGAAACATATTTCAGGTCGTGCAGTGTTTACAAAACAGGAAGCACGTGTAAACACCTGTGACTGATGCTCTAGAACAGCAGTTGCCAACCTTTTGGACCTCGAGGGCCACTGTTCTAGAAAGCTTAAGTGCTTGACAGATGAAGGCTCTAGCAAAACAGCTTTACCCGGCTCCATTCCCATCTATTTCATCTTATAGCTATGAGCCATTTCATCCTAAAAACATACAAATCAAGCCCTGGCCAGTGTGGCTCAGCTGGTTGAGCATCATTCCAGGGACCGAGAGGTAGCTGGTTCGATTCCGGGTCAGGGCACAGGCCTGGGATGCGGGCTCCATCCCCAGTAGGGGGCGTGCAGGAGGCAGCCGATCCATGATTCTCATCATTGATGTTTCTCTCTCTCTCTCTCCCACTCTTCCTTCCTCTCTGAAATCAATTTAAAAAATACATGTATTTTTTAAAAAAGAGTGGATTACAGCTGAGAGCGAGCTGTGGGGCACAGACCCGCTGAGGAGTGAGGGGAGCCCCCGGCCTGAAGCCCCCGGCCCCTCTGGCTGCCGCCACCATGACACACAGACCAGCCCCAGGCCAGGCTAACATGAAACCTGACATTAACGGCCTTGTTACCTCAGTGCCTATTACCTAACACTTCATGTCTGGCTTCAATAAAAAATTACAAGACGTGCTAAAAGGCAAGAAAAAACACAGTCGGATGAGACGAAGCATGCATCAGACCAGACTTCGATAAGACACAGATGTTGGAAGGATCAGACAGGCAATTTAAAAGGACTATGATTACCATGTTAAAACCAAGGGAAACATTAGATGGATAAATGTGACAGCTTGGCCCGGCTGGTGTGGCTCAGTGGTTGAGCGTCAATCTAGGAACCAGGAGGTCGCGGTTCCACTCCTGGTCAAGGGCACATGCCTGGGATGCGGGCTCCATCCCTAGTAGGGGGCGTGCAGGAGGCAGCCGACCCATGATTCTCTCTTGTCCCTGATGTTCCCCTCTCTCTCCCTCTCCCTTCCTCTCTGAGATGAATAAAAATATATTTAAGAAAAGAAAAAAGGCAGATGGGCCTTCATGTCTGAAAAGCTGGCCACACGTCTGCTCGGTTGCCATCATTCTGAGACCCAATCGGCCAGCCCACACGCGCCCGGGGCCAGCTCGGGGCGCGCTCCATTCCCGAGCAAGGGAGAACTCCAAGGCCAAGAAACATCCCTGTTGATTTTTCTATTTGCCCCGAATTTTAAAGGTCCATGCGAACCTTATTTATTTAATCCTCATTGGAGGATATTTTCCCATTGATTTTTAGAGAGTGGAAAGGGGGGAGTGGGGGGAGAGAGAGAGAAACATTGATGTGAGAGAGAGACACCGCCAATTGGTTGCCTCCTGCATGCAACCTGACCAGGGGTCAAGCCTGCAACCGAGGTACGTGCCCTTGACCAGAATCGAACCTGGGACCTTTCAGTCCGTAGGGGGATGCTCTACCCACTGAGCCAAACCGGCCGGGGCTTATGTGAACGTCTTTTTAATTCAACGTTCTTGCCCTCCAGCAAGGAGGACCCGGGCAGCTCCGACCACGCCCCTGGCTGTGTCTCCGTGTGCAGACCACACAAGTCTACAGAGCCGACGAGAGGCGGCTGGGGGAGATGCGTCTGGAAGGGATTCCTGGTAGCAAGCCCTTGTCGTTCACCCGCCCACATCTAATGCAATGCTTTACTGAAAACACACACACACACACACAGCATGGCAAACGCACCAGACACTGTTTCCAGTGCATTATAAACATTAACTCATTTAACCCTCCCAGCGAGCCTATAGAAGGACATAAATACCCTAATTTTCAGATGCGGACACAGGCACAGAGCAGCCAGGTCGCCTGCCCGAGGTCACGGCCAACACGTGGGAGAGTCAGCGGCGGGAGCTCACGGGGGCCCAGCTCCAGTCTGTGCTGTGAACCGCGGAGCCAAGTACTTAACGAAAGGGGCTGAGCCGTGTCTGTAGGGCGCACGCCTTCCTGCCGGCGGCCCCGCTCGTGCCACCCAAGCGCAGCCACTGCAGGAGTTAAAGCTAAAGACACCCCGAGATTCTGATGAAACAGGCACGCTCACTGCTATGCAAGCTGGGCCGGCCACTTCCAGGCTTCTTTTAGGAAAAGCGAAAAAAAGCACCCACAGAGAGACAGGTCAGGTACAATGGAAGCCGGCACCGAATTTCCCGCCTACGGCAAATCTCTCCTCACCAGTTTCCTACCAGCCTTCACCGCTTTAGCAGGGGGGCCTGAGCCGGTGACACTGCGGGCCCCATGTCACGTGGGCTCTCTCTGCGATGGAGCCAACGTGAGCAGCGACTTGGCAATAAAAAAAAAAGCGTGGCCGGGCTGGCGTGGCTGAGCGTCGACCTATGAACCAGGAAGTTATGGTTCGATTCCCAGTCGGGGCACATGCCGGGGTTGTGGGCTCGATCCCCAGTAGGGGGCGTGCAGGAGGCGGCCGATCAGGGATTCTCTCTCATCGATGATGTTTCTTTTTTTATTGATTTCAGAGAGGAAGGGAGAGGGAGGGATAGAAACATCAACGATGAGAGAGAATCATGGATCGGCCGCCTCCTGCACGCCTCCTACTGGGGATCGAGCCCGCAACCGGGCATGTGCCCTTGACCGGAATCGAACCTGGGACCCTTCAGTCCGCAGGCTGACGCTCTATCCACTGGGCCACACCAGCCAGGGCTCATCATTGATGCTTCTCTCTCTCTCTCTCTCTCTCTCTCTCTCTCTCTCTCTCTCAATCTCTCCCCCTCTCCCTTTCCTCTCTGAAATCAGTAAGATCAAAAAAATAAACATAAAAGCTAGGAGCCTTGAGCAGGTCGGGAATCTAAGACCCAACTTCCCCTGGTCCCTCCCCCTGAAGCCCACGGCAGCCCCGAGAAACGACGCTTCCAACCCTAGGAGCTGCCTTGTTCTAGCAAAGATCTTCATTGCACCATGAATGTCTGGTTATTATTATTTGTTTAGAAACACCTTACAGCCCTGGCCGGTGTGGCTCAGTGGAGAGAGCGTCGGCCTGCGGACCAAAGGGTCCCGGGTTCGATTCCAGTCAAGGGCACGCACCTCAGTGGCAGGCTCTTCCCCAGCCCGGGCCCTGGTCGGGGCGTGTGCAGGAGGCAACCCATCGATGTGTGTCTCTCACATCGATGTTTCTCTCTGTCTCTCCCCTTCTCTTCCACTCTCCCTAAACAAAAATAAACCAATGGATAAACATCCTCGGGTGAGGATCGACACCACCACCGCCTGCGATTCCTCGGAAGATGCAGGCACTTTTGCCAACGCGAGAGTAGGAACCAGCGGGTTACGTACGTGTGACTTCCTGCAAGAAATCCAGACACGGCCGCCCGCTGCCCGAAATGCTGAGCGAGACCGCCAGCGGGGTCTGCCCCTCGTAGTTCCTCGTGTTCGTGTCCGCCCCGTAACTGTACAGCATCCGTGCGCAGAGCACGTCGTCGCGGAGGGCAGACAGGTGCAGGGGCGTCTGGCCGTCCTCCAGGCGGCCCAGGTTCGTGTCGGCCCCGCGCTGCAGGAACATGCGGCAGTACGAGTGGTTGCTTTTGATGACGGCGTAGCGCAGCAGGAAGCCGTTCTGGATGTCGATGTTGGCGCTGTGGTCCAGCAGGATCTTCACGCAGCTCGAGCGCTCCCGGATGATGGCCAGCTGCAGCGGCGTCGTGCCCTTGTCGCTGAGCGGGTCCACCTCGGCCTTGAACTCCAGCAGGAGGCGGACGAACGAGTCCCGGCCGTAGTGGGCGGCCACGTGCAGGGGAGTCCAGCCGTCGTTGCTCTTGGCGTTGATGATGTCGCTCCGGTACTCGGACTCCAGCATCAGGCGCGCGATGCGGGCCCGGCCGTGCATGGCGGCGTAGTGCAGCGCCGTGAAGCCGCCGATTAAGTCCTTGACCGTGGGGTCAGCTGCGGTGGAAACCAGAAGGGACACATCAGCAGGCGCCCGGACAAAACAACGAGCCCTCCCCACAGCAGAGCCCGCGGGCGCCAATTCTCACACAGGATGCGGAAGGATCAGACATTGCAGCTGACGTCAAGCAGCACGTCTTTCCTCGGTTTAACTGAAGTCAAGGGTTTTTAAAAAATATATGGTTTTATTGATTTCAGAGAGGGAGAGATAGAGTCATCAATGATAGGAGAGAATAATTGGTCGCCTGCCTCTTGGACGCCCCGTATTGGGGATCGAGCCCGCAACCTGGGCATGTGCCCTGACCGGGAATCGAACCGTCACCTCCTGGTTCACAGCTTGACGCTCAACCACTGAGCTGCACCGGCTGCGCTGAAGTCAGGTTTTAATGAAAAATGAAGTTTGGTAGAAAGTGATCAACCCTGGTTAAAGAAGTTTTTAAAAGATATATATACGCCCAGCTGGTGTGGCTCAGTGGTTGAGCACTGACCTATGAACCAGGAGGCCACGGTTCGATTCCTGGTCAGGGCACATGTCCAGATTGCGGGCTTGATCCCAGTAGGGGACGTGCAGGAGGCAGCCGATCCATGATTCTCTCTCATCATTGATATTTCTTTCTTTAAAGATTTTATCTATCTATTTATTTTATTATTATTAGTATTATTTTTTGCTAATCCTCACCTGAGGATATTTTTTCCATTGATTTTTAGACAGAGTGGAAGGGACGGGGAGAGACAGAGAGAGAGAGAGAGAGAGAGAGAGGAACATCAATGTGAGAGAGATACTGAGACACATCGACTGGCTGCCTCCGGGATGGAGCCTGCAACCAAAGGTTATGTGCCCTCGATCGGAATTGAATCCGGAACCCTTCAGTCCACAGGCTGACGCTCTATCCACTGAGCCAAACCGGCCAGGGCGCATCACTGTCCATTTCTATTTCCCTCTCTAAAATCAAAAAGATTTTTTTTTAAAAGATATATACAAAAAACAGAGCTGAGACCACCATGCCCGTTTGCTAGCTGAACCCACTGCTTTTGCTGCCCCAGCTCCCCCATCTCTGAGTTGTTTTCACGCTTCTCTTCGGCTTTGACTTTGTTTTATTTTCTCTTGTGCTTCTTGGTCTTAAAGAGAAGCATGTGTAGCAACATCTGCGGCTCTAAATTACGGATGTACTGTGGTCTGGCAGACGGCGTTGTTTTAAGGGTGCATTAAGTGGGGGGAAAAAAATAAAGTTTTTTTTTTTTTTCTCCCTGTGGTCTGTAAAAATTCCAAAGCACGTTAGATATATGTTAAGTGATCTGGACAAATCAGGTTCTCGTAAGATAAACGTCTACTCTGAATGCTTGGTTTTACGAGAACTTTGGAGTCTGTAAGAATTAAATGGCGCGCCGTGTGAAAACCGGGAAGCAACTTGAGCGCCGTGTAAATATTATTTTGTACGACAGTTCCCAAGCTCTCTCCTAAACGGAATGACTTCTGCGGGAGGGGTGGAAGAGAGAGAGAAAGAAAAAGAAACGCCAGTGATGTATCTGCCGTGTCACTCCTCAGTCACAAACCTTGTCACCTGGCCCAGCGGCTCCTTGAGCCAAAGGGGAAGTTCTGTGCAGCTCTCATCCCACAGGCATTCCTGGCACCGTCTCCCGGAGAACACAGGCCACTTCCTGGAGGCCCGCAATTCCTCGTGAAGATAAACTGGTCAGACCTAACTACCTGGGATTCAAAGGCTTTCTCCTTGCCCTGGCCGGTGCTGCTCAGTGGTTAGAGCTCCGGCCCTAGGACCGAAGGATCTCGGGTTCAATTCCGGTCAAGGGCACGTACAGGTCCTCCAGCCCCGGTAAGGGCCTGTGCAGGAGGCAACCAATCGATGTTTCTCTCTCTCTCTCTCTCTCCTTCTCCCTCCCTCTAGGAATCAATGGAAAAAATATCCGGGGGTGAGGATTTAAAAAAAACACACAAAGGCTTTATTCTCATAAAAGTCACCCTTAATGTCTGGTTTGGCCACGAAAGAGAAAAATTCTTGAGTGCTTTTTCAAACAACGAAACAGAAAGCCTCCAAAGTTGTGAGAGCAGACATTTGTGTATTGTCTAGCAAAATGTTATTTCCTGCTAAAACGTGACAGCTGGGTCTCTGGGAAAATTCTACGAAGCAGAGAGCTCCATGGAAAAGAATGGTATTACGGAGAATGAAAGTTTCAGTTAAGAAGCAGTTGCTCACAGAACCTGTAAAAAGTTAAAAGACTCTTACTAAGTAAAGTATACCAGTTCAATTTCTAAAATCGCTAAATACAAACGAACAGTGCACAACAGCAATAGCGTATCCTGCCCGCGTTGGTCTTCGCTAAAAGGAAAATAGACGGCAACTCTGTATTATGCGACTTAAAAATAAATGAGGGCGAGCTTTTTTTTAACAAAGCGTCTTGCTGCCACCTGCTGGTCATGCCAGGAACGTCAGCTATGACCTGCCCACTCTGATAGGGTGCTGAGCCCTCATCCTGCTTCCCACGCCTCCCTTACCTAAAGCAGCGGAGTGGAGACAGGCATGGAGGAGAAAAGAACCCCTTCGATCCAAATGAAACCGTCACTGTGGCCAAGGCGCCGTTTCCAATCTCTACCTGACCCAGCAACAGCTGCCTGCTGGTGTTCGCGAAACGTTACGAATGCTTTCCATTTCTCCCACCTTTTGTCCACTCTTACGCGCATCCTAGACGTGCTGACTCAGCAGTAAAATGAAAATCATGTTATGTGGGACTGCACTTGGGGCTTTGGTTTTCCACTCTGGGCCCTTGCCAGGTTTTACTTACGTTTTGGTGTTACGCGGAGCTGGGAGAAACCATGATTAACACAGAGCAAGGATCTGCTTAGCCTCAGTAAAAACCGTAAAAATATACTGGCTGTGCACACGTGGAAAACAGCACAGAATATAGAGCTTTAAGTAACAACGCATGAACTTTGCACAGTAACTGTCCTGGAGGCATTAACAAAAGGAAGATCTAGACAGATGAAGATGCAAACAAAATCCAGTTTAAGGATTACTGTTAGCCAGTGCAGTAAGAAAGAGATCGCATTTGTAATAGTAACAGAAACGATAAAAACACCTAGCGCCCCAGATGGTGTGGCTCAGTGGATCAAGCATCAGCCTGCGGACTGAAGGGTCTCGGGTTCGATTCCGGTCAGGGCACATGCCTGTGTTTCGGGCTCCATCCCCAGTAGGGCGGCGTGCAGGAGGCAGCTGATCAATGATGTTTCTCTCTCTCTCTCCCTCTCCCTTCCTCTCTGAAATCAATAAAAACATATCAAAAAAATAAATAAAGAAAAACACCTCGATATAAATTCAGTAAGAAATGTGCAAGGCACGTACAAAGACAACTTTGACGGAAGTTGAGCTCACTTTGTCCCATAGTCTCAAGACACCTTGAAATGTAATGAAAAATTTGGAAGTACATATAAATAAAAGCAGATAAACATTCCCTATCAATATGGTGTGTTTTTTTTTTCCCCCAACAACTTTACCGGGGTTGCAAGAAAGCTTCCCAATCTTAAGTGTACAAGTCGATGAACTTGGACAAATTGTATACAGTCACGTTGTAACCACCACCATAATCCAAATATTCCCATCATCCCAAAAAGTTCCTTCCTGCCTCTTTACTGTCAATTCTCTGCCCAGACTCTGGGTCCCAGGCAGCCACTGAGGTTCCGGCCTTCCTCGAATTTCATAGAAATGAAACCATAGGGTATGGAGAGTTTGTGTCTGACTTATTTCACTTAGCACGATGCTTCTGAAATTCACCCGTGTTGTTGTTGTGTGTCCAAATGTTCATTCCTTTACATCGTTGAGTAGTTTTCTACAATATGGATCTTCAATTATTTATCTACTAGAGGCCCGGTGCATGAAATACGTGTGGGGGAGGGGAGGGAGAAGGGGGGTCCCTCAGCCCGGCCTGTGCCCTCGCCAATCTGGAACCGCTTGCTCCTAACCGCTTGCCTGCCTGCTTGCTGGCTCCTAACCACTCACCTGCCTGCTTGCCTGCTCGCTCCTAACTGCTCGCCTGCCTGCCTGCCTGCCTGCTCCTAACCGCTTGCCTGCCTGCCCAGTGCGTGTAACGGTTGCTTAGGCTTTTATATATATAGATTATTCACCAGCAGGTGGACCGTGGGCTATTTCCAGTATTGAGGCTATTATGAAACGGCTCCTGTGAACATGCATGTACAAGTCTACATGGGGCTGTATGTTTCCATCTCACTTGGGTACATACCTAGACCTGTTGGCCTGTATGTTATATGTACATTTGAGAAACTGCCAAACTTGTTTTTAGTGGCTCCACAATATTACATTCCCACCAGCAATACAGGGTGGGGCGGATGTAGATTTACAGGAGTAGTGAGTATGAGAAACAGAATTTATTCCTTTTTTATTTTTTATTTTTTGAAGAATTTGGCTGGGACTTCCATTATCCTTTCTCTCACACCTAGCAGCTTGGGCCAGCCAGCAATCTTTGTTTTATTTTATTTACTTATTTTGTTTTATTGATTTCAGAGAGGATGGGAGAGGGTGAGATAGAAACACCAATGGTGAGAGAGAATCATGGATCCGCTGCCTCCTGCATGCCCCCTACTGGGGATTGAGCCCACAACCCGGGCATGTGCCCTGACTGGGAATTGAACTGTGACCTCCTGGCTCATAGGTTCATGCTCAAACCACTGGGCCAGAATTTATTCTTGTATTATTATTTATTAATGTATTACTTTCCATATGAACAACTGTAAACCTTCTTTTGCCCCAGCCTGTAGAGGCGTTCAAGTTGGTCTTCACTAATACTTGGCATCGTAGCAATTTTAGTTTCTTCCACGCTAGAGAGTGTAAAGTCGTAACTTATAGGAACTTAATTTACACATCCCGGGTGGCGTGGCGATACTGAGCTTATGCAAGCGCTGTGTGTTGTGAAGTGTCTGTTGAAATCATTTGATTATTGCTACGGGGTTGTTTTTCTCACCGAGTTTACAACTCTGTTGTGTATACATTCTGGATACGAGCCCTTTGTTAGATACGTTTTGTAAATATTTCTCCTAGTCTGTCAGGCCTTTTCATTTCCTAGACAGTGTCGTTTAAAGACGAAAAATGTTTAGTTTTGATGAGGTCAAGTATATTTTTCCTCTTACGGTTTTCGCTTTTTGTTAAGAAATCTTTGCCCAACACGACGTCACATAGGTTTTCTGTCTTCCTCTAGAAGTTTTATGTTGTTAACTCTTATGTTTAGAGCAATGATCCATTGCTCGTTGCTTTTTATGTCCAGTGCGAGGTCAGATCAAGGTTCATTACTTCCCACACAGGTATCCAGTTGTTCCAGCAAAATCTGCTGAAAAGTCTAGCTTTTCCCCAGTGATTTTTGTCAAAATCAGTTTGTCAAAAAAAATCAGTCTACCAGACAAGTATGGGTCTATTTCTTTTCTTCTTTGATAACCCTCACCTGAGGGGTGAGGGTATTTTTTCTAAGGAGGGGGGAGTGGGAGAGACAGAAAGAGAGCAGAGAGAAACATCTATGCGAGAGGCACATTGATGGATTGACTTCTGCATGTGCCCCAACCAGGGTTGGGGATCGAACCTGCAACCCAGGTAGGTGCCCTTGACTGGGAATCAAGCCTGCGACTCTAAGGTGGGGCGGCCGATGCTCTAACCACTGAACCATGCCGGCCAGGGCAAGTGTGGGCCTATTTCTGAACTCTATTCTGTTCCATTGATCTGAAAGTTTATCCATATTGTCCTGACCACTGTGGCTTTCTAGAAAGTTCTGACAGCAGGGAGTGTATGTCCTCAACCTTCTTTGAAACCGTTTGGGCCAACAAATCAACTTGTCCATTTTTTCAAACAAGCCTGCTGGAATTGTGACTATCACTCCACCAACTCTATAGGCTCCTCAGACTAGATGTTCACTGATCAATTTTCAAGGTCACTGATTCCATCTTCTGTCAGCTCAAATCTGCTAGTAACCACTCTAGTAAATTCTTCATTATAGATAATGTGCTTTTCAACTCAAAATTCATATTTGGGCATATATATGTATACATATACATATATGATATATAACCTCCTATATTATAAAGAGCTAATATGCTAATTAGACCAAACAGCAAAATAACCGTCTGGATGAAGCTGGGGCTGCGAGGGCCAAGCCCCTGGCACGAATTTTGTGCACCGGGCCTCTAGTGTATATTATATCTATAATAATAAAAAAGCAATATGCTAATTAGATCTGATGTCTTCCAGATGTCATTCTGGACGTCCATCCTGACGAAGCCAGGGCCGGAGGAAGGAAGCCTGGGTCCCGGGTGCCGGAGGGAAGCCGGTGCCGGCAGCTGGGGGAAGGAAGGCCTACTTTTGCACGAATTTTGTGCATCGGGCCTCCAGTATACATATAACAAATTCTATCTGTTTTTGATAGTCTGTATTTGATGCGTTAGTGCCGCCATATATTTCTTTTATGTTTCGACCACCATTTCCTTAATTCTTTGAACACATTCATAAATAGCTGCTCTGAAATTTGTTCCTCTTCACAGTGCAGGGTCCTGCCCTCGCAATATCAAAGATCGCTGATTAGCCGACCAGTGTGGCTCAGTGGTTGAGCATCGACCTATGAACCAGGGCTGATCAGTGCCCTTTTAAAACAATATATGCATACTTTTTAATTGATTTCAGAGAGGAAGGGAGGGGGAGAGAAGGACAGAAAAACCAAAGATGAGCCCAGCTGGCATGGCTCAGTGGCTGAGCGTCGACCTATGAACCAGGTGGTCATGATTCAATTCCTAGCCCGGGTTGTGGGCTCGGTCCCCAGTAGGTGGCCGATCAATGAGTCTCTCTCATCATTGATGCTTCTCTCTCTCCCTCTCTCTGAAATCATTAGGACATATTGACAGTCCTCCACTCTATCAACTGAGCTATCGAAGGCCCTGCTATTAGGACATATTTAAAGGGGCCCATGCGAGGTCTGTGTGCTTGAGCAATGCCGGCAGGGGAAACGTGTGTAATTCTCCGGCTGTAGGTACACCACAGCCACTTCTGCTTCTGAAACGCGAGTAACTGGGCGAGGTGACGAGGGGGCTGCTTTTAGTTCAAGCCACCTGCAAACTTGGCTGTATATCAACGACTGCTACCAGGGAAATAGCACTTTCACCAAACTGATCTTTTCGACAATCTGGTTGCAAACAAAACTCAGCATAACCGTAACCAAGCTTCACATAGGAGAGGTTATAAGAAGTTGAGCATTGCCCGGCTGGTGTGGCTCAGTGGTTGAGCGTCAACCTATGAACCCGGAGGTCACGGTTCGATTCCCAGTCCAGACACAGGCCCGGGCTACGGGCTCCATCCCCAGTAGGGGGAGTGCACGAGGCATCCAAGCGATGATTCTCGTTCATCACTGATGTTTCTATTTCTCTCTCCCTCTCCTTTATTCTCTGAAATCAATAAAATATCTTTAAAAAAAAAATGATATACACATGCACACAGATGTTTGAAATTAAATATAGTTTCATTCTAAACTTCTCCTTGGGGGAAAAAAGAGATTTGCTGCTAAGTAGACTCACCTCCGTGTTCTAGAAAGACACGGACACATCTTTCCTTTCCTCTGGCTGCTGAGAAGTGGAGCAGGGTCCAGCCATTCGCATCCCGGCCATTCGGGGAATAGCCTTGTTCTAGCATCTTCCGGACGGTGTGGACATCCCCGGCGGCCACCGCAGCCTGGATCTGCAACTCTTCCTGGAGCTCAGGGTTCCTCCGACAGTGGTGGTGTAACATCCTAGCGGAGTCCACTGCTTACAAAGGATGCATTAGGTCACAGGGGTCAGCCTTTAAGGGGAGGCAGAGAACATGGCGTTTAGGATTCTGGGCTCCTGACAGAGGGGCCATGAAATGTTACGGAATTTTCCTTGGCTAAATCGCGTGCACCTCAGTGATGCCAGTTCATAATGAACCAAATCTGTTATGACCCAGACATTCGGTGATTTCCGTAGGATGATGAAAGATGGCAAAAGAAAGCCGCCCGGCGGGCATGGCTCAGTGGTTGAGTGTTGACCTATGAACCAGGTCACGGTTCGATTCCCAGTCAGGGCACAGGCCCCAGTAGTGGGCTCGGTCCCCAGCAGGGGGCGTGCAGGAGGCAGCCGATCCATGATTCCCTCTCATCACTGATGCTTCCATCTCTCTCCCCGTCTCTCTTCCTCTCTGAGACCAATAAAAATTTATTTAAAGACATACAGAGACTTAAACTAACATTCTTTTAGGAAGCCACTCCATCTGGGCTAATTTCCAGGAACAGATTAGGCACATCTCCGAGTAGGCCTCCATTTCTAAAAATAAAAAAAAAATTATGGGATAAGGTTCTTTAAAGACATTTTGGTCTGTTATGTAGGTTAGACATCTTGGGATGATCTTGTTACCAATAATAAGTTATCGTGTAAAACTTCTTATTATAGCCCTGGCTGGTGTGGCTCAGCTGGTTGAGCGTCATCCCATGCACCAAAGGGTCGCAGGTTCGATTCCCGGTCGGGGCACCAGAAAAACAACAACTCCTCATTACAGATTGTACAAAGGTAAACTTAAGCCTGACTTAGGCCACATCATCACAGCCTAAGACAGGGGTGGGCAAACTTTTTGACTCGAGGGCCACAATGGGTTCTTAAACTGGACCGGAGGGCCGGAACAAAAGCATGGATGGAGTGTTTGTGTGAACTAATATCAATTCAAAGTAAACATCATTACATAAAAGGGTACGGTCTTTTTTTTTTTTTTAGTTTTATTCATTTCAAACGGGCCGGATCCGGCCCACGGCCATAGTTTGCCCACAGCTGGCCTAAGAGCATAATCAAATATCCTCTGCTATTTTATACATGGAAAATGGTATTACAAACTATTTTTTTAAATATATATTTTTATTGATTTCAGAGAGGAAGAGAAAGGGAGAGAGAGATTGAAACATCCATGATGAAAGAGAATCATTGATCGGCTGCCTCCTGCACAACCCCTACTTGGGATCGAGCCCACAACACAGGCATGTGCCCTGACTAGAATCGAACCTGGGACCCTTTTGTCCACAGGCTGACGCTCTATCCACTGAGCCAAATCAGCTAGGGCGGTTATAACAAACTCTCAAGTATCACTACTAAGTAACGTCATTTACAAATATCGGGCTACTTCTACGGAGAGCTATTTCCTCAGAAAAATTAGGAAATGAGAAATTTCAAGACGATCTGTCTTCTTAATTAACGTGATTTCCTCCCCATCTCTTCACTTAATTGTTTTTCAACTGACGCTAAAGTCAAGTCTCTCTCGTTTTAAAAATGTAAAAGAAGGAATCCTGTTCGAATAGGTTTTTGCCTACTATTAGCGTTTTTTGTTGTTGATGTTGTTGTTTTGTTAATCCTCACCCTGGGATCTTTTTTTTTTCCCAATTGATTTTCAGAGAGTGGAAGGGAGGAAGGAAGGGGAGAGAGAGGGAGAGAGAAACATTGATGTGAGAGAGACACATTGACTGGTTACCTCCCGCATGCGCACAGACTGGGGCCGGGAATCGAACCTGAGACCCTTTAGGCGCGCAGGCCGACGCTCTCACCACTGAGCCACATCGGCCAGGGCTATGATTACGGTTTTAAGAGAAGATGTTGAAGACCATCAGAAAGAATGAACGGGAGCTACGGACGGCTCAAAGCAACCATCTTTCACAGATTCTTTTTTTAATGGGATGATCTACCTTGGCCCTCGAATGAGGGCTACTCTGCAAGAACAAAGGTCAAACACCATCAAACGAAACCTGGGTTTTCTTATAGCAAGTGCTGTGCTGAGTTTTCCATGAGCTGACTGGAGGGAGAGCAGTCAAAGCTAAAGGGCTCCCCTCACCCCCTCCAACAGTACGGGTGACCAGGGACCTCCAGTCGCTTACCTTCTGGAAGAAAGTCCCTTTTCCTGGGAGGGGGCCGCCTAGTAAGCATTGTGCACATACAGCATCGTGGGGCGGGTCTCAGAGTGCGTCCGGGTGACGGACCAGCTTCCTCTACCTAAACACAAATAACAACCGTGGGAAAACTCCGAGAGATGACAGAGGATCACAGCGACCCACAGCGTCTACCATTCGATGGTCTTCACTTCAGCACCTTACGGAGCAGAGACAGAGCTTGACCTTGAGACCCCCATTCATCTCCCCCAGGTACAAAATCACTTATTTTTCAGGATTATTCCCCCCCCCCCCAACGAGGCAGAGTGTTTTTGGAAAAAGAATAAAGAAAATAATAAATCACACATTTGCTCTATTCAGAATATATTTTCAGACTTGCCTTATTTGAATTACTTTTTTTTTTAAATCCTCAACCAAGGATATGTTTTATTAATTTTAGAGAGAGAGAGAGAGAGGAAGGGAGAGAGAGAGAAACATGGTTCAATTGCCTCCCATACGGTCCCGACCGGGGATTGAACCCACAACCTAGGTACGTGCTGTGACCAGTAATCAAACCCGTAACCCTTCGATGCACAAGAGAAAGCTCCAATCAGCTGAGCCACCCGGCTGGGCAATTATTTTTGTTGTTGTTGTTGTTAATCCTCACCTGAGGGTATTTTTTCCTCCACTGATTTGCAGAGAGAGTCGAAGGGAGGGGGAAAGACAAGAGAGAGAGAAATACAGATGCACTAGAGACACATGGATTGGCTGCCTCCCACACTCGCCCCAACTGGGACCAGGGATCGAGCCTGCAACTGAGGTATGTGCCCTGGACCGGAACAGAACCTGGGACCCTTCAGTCCTTGGGGTTACCCTCTAACCACTGAGCCAAACTGGCTAGGGCCTGAATTACTTTTTAACTGACACCGTTAGTCACTTGTTTTTTCCCCAAACAGGATTAAGAAAGATGAGAAAATGTGTGCATTCAATACAGCAGGTGGCCAGAGCCAAAATGGAATCTGTGACAAGGAAATGGACATCGTGACTTTAAATGCTGGTTCTTCATACGTCCAAAAGGCACCACGTGAGCCACTGTGAAGCTGTCATTCCTTTATGCACACACCCAAGTGAGTAAAAGATTAACAACAGTCTTGCCAGCTTCCTTATAGGAACTCTGAAAAAATTCCCTCTACAACTCAAAGAAAAGGGATCTTGCCTGGCGGGTGTGGCTCAGTGGTTGAGCATCGACCTATGAACCAGGAGGTCACAGTTCCATTCCCGGTCAGGGCACGTGCCTGGGTTGCAGGCTCCATCCCCAGTAGGGGGTGTGCAGGAGGCAGCCGAGCCGTGATTCTCATCATGGATGTTTCTCTCTCTCTCTCTCTCTCTCTGTCCTCCCTTCCTCTCTGAAATCAATGAAAATATATTAAAAAAGAAAAAAGAAAGAAAAGGCTTTGTGTTAAGGATGAAGTACTAAATGGTTTCTCTCAACAAGAAAGAGGCATGAACAACAACAACTTGTGGTCATCCCGAATGGGCGCCTCCCATCAGAGAAGGAAGGCCTCCTGAGGGCCCGCCGGGAGCTGGGCCCGCTATCAGGCCCGGCCACTCCTGCGACCCCGCTTAGAACTCGCTTAGGCAGCTCTGCCGACTTAACAGGAACCACGTGATTCTGGAAATGGCACATCACTTTCCCCTTTTCTGACAGTACCAACCACTATCAACAATAGCCGTAGGTTTAAACCCAAAAGCACTCTTTACATGCAGGGATCTTCCCAGGAATAACACATGGACTCACACCCCATGCACACACGGACACATACCATGAACACATGGACTCACACCCCATGCACACATGGACACACACCATGCACACACGGACACATACCATGCACACATGGACACACACAATGCATAAACGGATACACATACCACGCACACACGGACTCACATACCACACACACACGGATTCACATACCATACACACACACCATGCACACACGGACATATACCATGCACACAAGGACTCACCCCATGCACACATGGACTCACATCCCATGCACACAGACACACATCCCATGCACACAGACTCACATCCCATGCACACAGACACACATACCATGCACACACAGACTCACATCCCATGCACACACGGACTCACATCCCATGCACACACGGACTCACATACCATGCACACAGACACACATACCATGCACACACAGACTCACATACCATGCACACACACACCATGCACACATGGACTCACATCCCATGCACACAGTCACACCTACCATGCACACACGGGCTCACCTACCATGCACACACGGACTCACATACCATGCACACACGGACTCACATACCATGCACACATGGACACACATCCCATGCACACAGACTCACATTCCATGCACACACACACCATGCACACACGGACTCACATCCCATGCACACATGGACTCACACACCATGCACACACGGACACATACCATGCACACACGGACACATACCATGCACACATGGACACACACAATGCATAAACGGATACACATACCACGCACACACGGACTCACATACCACACACACACGGATTCACATACCATACACACACACCATGCACACACGGACATATACCATGCACACAAGGACTCACCCCATGCACACATGGACTCACATCCCATGCACACAGACACACATCCCATGCACACAGACTCACATCCCATGCACACAGACACACATACCATGCACACACAGACTCACATCCCATGCACACACGGACTCACATCCCATGCACACACGGACTCACATACCATGCACACACGGACTCACATACCATGCACACAGACACACATACCATGCACACACAGACTCACATACCATGCACACACACACCATGCACACATGGACTCACATCCCATGCACACAGTCACACCTACCATGCACACACGGACTCACCTACCATGCACACACGGACTCACATACCATGCACACATGGACACACATCCCATGCACACAGACTCACATTCCATGCACACACACACCATGCACACACGGACTCACATCCCATGCACACATGGACTCACACACCATGCACACACGGACACACATACCATGCACACATGATCCCTGGCAGCTGCAGCCCTTAAATTATGAAGGACGGTGACTTATTACCAAAGGTCCTCACAGTCCAAAGCATCATAAATGCATTTGATCTGGGTGCTGTTTTGTGGGGCCTTGCCCTTAGCAGAGCCCAGCTATGCACGTGTACACAGATGAGGAAAACATAGAGACGATTGAACTTAAAGGGCAAAGGTGCCCATTGCAAACCGCAGAGGAAGTCCAGAGGTGAGAATGAAAAAAAAAAAAAGTCTATTTCCTCTAAGGAGGGCAGGTCTGAAAATCTGACAGCTCATGGAAATCACCCATCGAATAAGGGAACACGGGCCGGGAGGCAAGTGTCTAAGTAAACGTACAATGCGAATTGTTTTAAATCAATGATGACTCAGAATGACTAAAACTCTGAAGGTGCAATCTTCAGAAATTCCATTTTAGGTTTTACAGTTAGAAAAAACGCACACTAACAGGGAAGACTTCAGAATTATATACCAAATGAACCACTTCCCTGATGTATCTTATTATTTTTAAAAATATACTTGTATTGATTTTAGAGAGGAAAGGAGAGGGAGAGAGAGACAGAAACACCAATGGTGAGAGAGAATCATTGATCGGCTGCCTCCTGCATGCCCCCTACTGGGGATGGAGCCCGTAACCCGGGCATGTGCCCTGACCGGGAATCGAACCATGACCTCCTGGCTTATCGGTCGACAGAACCACTGAGCCATACCGGCTGGACCTGATGTATCTTTTTATATAATATTTTGTTGCCCAATGTTAATGCTATGTGTAAATTTGATGAATGCATGTTTTCTACTCTATATGGGGCCAAAAGATAACAATATAGGCCTCCAAGCTCTTATGCTGTTGACCTTATTAAAACTAAATATTTAGAAATTATATGTTACCATCTAGCCTGGCTGGTGTAGCTCAGTGGTTGAGTGTCCGACCTATGAACCAAGAGGTCATGGTTCGATTCCCGGGCAGGGCACATGCCCGGGTAGCAGGCTGGATCGGATCCCAGTGTGGGGTGTGCAGGAGGCAGCCAATCAATGATCCTCTCTCATCACTGATGTTTTTCTCTCTCTCTCTCCCTCTCCCCTCCTCTCTGAAATCAATAAAAATATAGTAAAAAAATAAATACAGAAATAAATGTTACCATCTAATTTCCACATGGATGGCCAAGTAAACTTCATGAAAGTTAAAATCAAAACGTCTTTCTTCATATAATTAAGAAAAAGTCTACATCCATACAGTGGAGTGCGGGAAATGAAAAAAAACAAAACGTATTTCAGACCTGCCTAGGGTTACATAACGGGCACCCAATTGGCCCGCATGTCCCCAGTTTCCGTCGGCATACACGGTTAGTCACTCATGGCTCTCTGCGTGCGGTTTTCACTGAAAAGTCCACACGTTTTCTGATTAAGGGACACAAATCAGAGCTGCGCTTTCAGATTTCACACAAGCTGGAAACAAGATAACAGCTTGCTACTCAAAAAAAAAAAAAAAAAAAAAAAGTAAGCATTTCTTTGCAGCGTAAACCGAGACACAGGCTGCTAAGGAAATAAAATCGGCAACTCCAAGAACATGGCCTCTGAGAAAACACACACACACAAACCAAGCCGCCAGTGGCTCGCAAGTCCTAACAGAGGAGGCGGGTGCAGAAATACTACAAAGTTCAACATGGCCGAGACGTGTGTGGATGAGTTCTGCTGATGTGATCGAAAGACCGGAACCCCTAATCGAATAGAAGGAGGGTGATGTTAGTATCTCACTCAACATCGCATAGCGTTTATGTTCCCAAACAAGCAAGGCGTGTGCATATTTCCACCCCACTCCTGGGCCTCCATACAACACAAAGATTCATTTATTCATTTTCATTCCTCCCCTGAGAATATTTTTTTCCCATTCATTTTTAGAGAGACGGAAAAGGAGAGAGGAAGAGGGGGGGAGAGAAAGAGAGAGAGAGAGATATCAATGTGAGAGAGAATCATGGATCGGCTGCCTCCTGCACGCCCCCTATGGGCGGTCGAGCCCGAAATCCGGGCATGTGCCCTGACCGGGAATCGAACCCGTGACCTCCTGGTTCCTAGTTCAAAAACAAAAGAATATGCAAACCCTCAGAGCCCCTTAAAAGGATCTCTAGCTAGGTCTTGGCAATTGGAAGAATCAAGAAAGACATTCCTTTTCGTGAGTGGCAGAAAGTCTAGATGCTCAACCACGAAGCCACACCAGCCTGGCTAGAATTAGGTCTAAAGCGGGGGGAAAAAATATTTAACAGGGAAGACCCGAATAGAAAACACATCATTCATTTTTACCTTAAAAACATACTTCAGCCGAAACCGGTTTGGCTCAGTGGATAGAGCGTCGGCCTGCGAACTGAAGGGTCCCAGGTTCGATTCCGGTCAAGGGCATGTACCTGGGTTGCGGGCACATCCCCAGTAGGAGATGTGCAGGAGGCAGCTGATCGATGTTTCTCTCTCATCGATGTTTCTGACTCTCTCTCTCTCTCCCTTCCTCTCTGTAAAAAAATCAATAAAATATATTTAAAAAACAAAACAAAAAAAAAACATACTTCAAATATTTCCAGAAGTCCTAATTATTAGACATCTCTCTGGTGATTCCCACACTGAAATCATCAAAACGGCCTTGAACTTCACAGGCTTCCGCCTGGCTTTCACTGAAATGAAGTGGCCCCTATGTACACTTACAAGGGCTGCCCTAAATGTTCACACGGGACAGCTCCCGGTTGACACGGACTCGAAATCCCATTCTGCAGCGAGCACTCCCCGGCGGGGTCTGCCTCTAGGTCTCAAGAACATGCAAACCAGGCCGGGGCTGGTGTGGCTCAGTGGCTAGAGTGTCGGCCTGTGGACTCGAGGGTCCCGGGTTCGATTCTGGTTGAGGGCTCGAACCTTGGTTGCGGTCGGGGCAACCAATCTCGGGGCAACCAATCGATGTGTCTCTCTCACATAGATGTTTCTCTCTCCCCCTCCCTTCCATTCTCTCTAAAAACCAATGGGAAAATATCTTTGGGTGAGGATTAACAACAACAACAAAAGCATATGGAAACCCTCAGAGCCCCTTAAAAGTGTCTCTGGCTATGTCTTGGCAGTGGGGAGACTCAAGACAGACATTCCTTTCTTTTGGGGGAAGGCAGAGAGTCCAGTGGAACGGAGTAAATCAAAGATTTCCTGAGGACGTCTGCTATTTTAAGTGCTCTGCGGTACCTACAACTCCCTCAGCAGTCTTGAGATATTAAAATTACTCTGAGATTAACAAGTCACTTTAGATTCCCGTGACTGGATGTTAGGAAAGTCATTCACTTGGCTAATTTCTGAATTGACGCTTCTATGATTTCCCTGGTCATACCCCCTTCTTTAGGAATTACACGAATGTCCTAAACATTTAAGAGGCACCAACAAAATCCAGCAGCATAGATGTGACGCCTGAATTAGATGCTTACATTTCTTTCCTTTTTTTTTTCCCTTCTCTTTTTTGTTTTGTTTTGTTAATCCTCCAAGGATAAATATCCGACGATATTTTTTCTATTGATTTTTAGAGAGCGTGGAAGGGAGGGGGAGAGACAGGGAGAGAAACATTGATGTGAGAGAGACGCATCCATTGGCTGCCTCCCGCAGGCACCCAGACCAGGGCCGGGGATTGAGCCTGCAACCCAGGTAAGTGCCCTTAGCTGGAATTGAACCCGGGACCCTTCAGTCCTTAGGCCGACACTCTACCCACTGAGCCAAACCGGCCAGGGCTAGATGCTTACATTTCAATCTACCAAATTAGCCGTGAGGGCTTTGAATGGAGAAATCTCAGTTATGAAGAGGGCAAAGAGAAAGCCAAAACATTCCTTTGTTTTAAAGTTCTTGAATGTCAAATGATAGCGAGCTAGTATGGAAAGTTTTATGGGTTCTAGAAAATCGGAGGTGTAACAAGTATTATTTTTTTTACCTTTTTATAACAGCTTCAGAGCCCATCCACACACGTCCCACAGAAACACACAAAAGCCTGAAGCATTCCCGATACATCAGACCTTCAGGGGCGCGTTTTGCTTTCCTACAATCTGCGCCATTAAGGTACACCGACCCCCTTTTTTACTAGGGAAAAACTCACATTATTTTCCAAAACTCATACATTTCCAGCCATCACCTTCCTTGACCAAACCCTGGTGGGTTAGGGATTTTTATTCTGGTGGAGCTAGAAGGACGGCGATAGGAAGGAATCAGGGGGAAGCAGAAAACTGCGGTTTAATTAAAAAAAAAAAAAAAAAAAAAAGGAGAGCCATTCAGAATGAACAAGCAATCGAGGAAAATTCCTAGGAGAGTGAGGGTTGCGGGAGGAACCAGAAAACTCTCTGAACCTCAGAGCAAGGAAAATGGTACCATCACCAAAAGATAATGCAACACACAGAAACACCAGCCAGAGAGAAAGGGTGGGAAAGACGATGAGGGAGTGGAAAAGTTATGAAAATGCCCAGAAGCAGGGCAAAAAGAGCAGCGTTTCTGGGTTTGTTGTTTTTTTTGTGTGTGTGTGTGTGTGTGTTTTTTTGCGGTGAAAAGGGGGAGGGGGGTTCAGGAACCAGTTGCACCCCCCCTCCCCCCACCCCAGGGAACCACCCTGAAACCAGAGTCATTGCCTAATGAGACAGGGGCCGGGGGATCAACAATGGGGGAGGGCAGGGGAGGGCTGGCTGGTTACCTGCACGGAGGATGCTACCGCTAGAAGCTCTCGGCTACTTCCCAGGTGGGTGGGCAGGCCTCCTCTTGCTTTCCAGGCTCGGGAGCCAAACACCAAACCTGGAAATCAGAAACCAGGGAGAGAGGTGAGGCGCGGTGCCCCCGGGGCCAGGAGCAGGGAGGTGGGGGGGGGGGGCTTGGAGGAAGGGGAGCAGAGAAAGAGAGAGAGAGAGGGAGGTTGGTTCAGGGCAGGTAGGAAGATGCAGTGATTTTTCCCCCCTCCCTCCCTCCCAGCCGCCCCCTTGGCTTCAAGGGAAGGTAACTGACTTTACCTGTCTCCTCAGCTGCTGCGGCGCTTCCTCCTCTCAGCCTCCTCCACACTCACCAACTTCTCCATTGAAGAAATGCCTCGGGCAGGGCCGGACACGGGGGTTCCGGAGCCTCCTCCGAGCCTCCCGGCCCCAGCCCGGCGAGCATCCACAGACGCTAGGCGGCGGTCCCGGCCGCGGGGCAGCCTCGGGGCAGGGGTGCAGGGAGGAAGTCCCGGCTCGGGGACGGGCGGGAAGGGGGGGGGGGGGTCCCGGTCTGAAGGCTCCGAGCAGAGGGGCTGCCGCGGTCCGGGCCGGAGGCTCCCAGCTCCGAGGCGAGGACACGGGAGCTGTCGGGGCAGCGAGGTCTCGGCTTGGGTAGGGTCCTCGGTACCAGCCGCGGGGGCACCAGGCGGGGGGCTTTCAGGATGCACTTTGCACTGGGCCACCCCCGCCCCCTCCCTCCAGCACTTTGGGGTCACTGGGATGGGACCAAGCCTTCAGCAGCCAATCAGCGGCCACCCTGGAGCCAGAGCCCGGAGCCGTAAACCAAGTCCGGGGTAGGTGGGGCTGGCGGGAGGAGGCGACTTGATTGGCTGGGCGCTTCCTTCTCTCCTCCTTCTCCCTAGCGGCACCACCCCTTCGCCTGCCGTAAAGCCGACTGCGCATTCGCGACAGTTGGAGGAGGCGTGGCCATCGAAGCTGGGACTCGTCTGCGATTGGCTGCACTCACTCACCCCCTCTAGGCTTCCCCGCTGTGGCTTCCAAAGCCCGCCCCTAGCGGAGGGACTCGAAGCGGTTGCTAGGAGACACTGTACGCCGAATAGGACTTCTACGCATGCGGGAGGCGGGGCCCGCTCGGACGGTCTGTGCATTACGGTGGCCCGGAGGGGGCCGGCGGGCACTGGCATGGCGGAGGCGGAGGATCCCTGACAGGTAAACTGAGCTGGTGTGTGCGGCCGACCGAGAGGCTGGCCCGAGGATTGAAGGTTGGGGAGGCGGGAGTCCCAGGGGCGCCTTGTCCCACCGCCCCCGTGCCGGGTCCTGGGCTGGTCTCCATCCTTTGGGCCGCGGTAGCTGGAGGCTGAGCAGACCTCGCCCTGCGCGGAAGAGGGGACCTGTCTTTGTAATGATGGTGATGCTTCAAGGGCTTTCCCCCTGCAGGATACGGATTACCCAGGAAGGAAGGGGGAAAGGGAGTAGAAAACGTGTGATGGACACGTTTGCAAGCATGCATTCATTTAGCAGGTGGCCGGGCACCGTCCTAGGCGTTACAGAAACAATAGTGAACAACCTAGTTGTGTTCGCTTGACCCTTGGAGTTTCCACTTAATTTTTTTGTGAGTTCTCACACAAGGATATCCCCCCCCCCCCAGAGTGACATGGATGTAAGAGAGACACATCAAATGGTCACCTCCCTTATGCGCATCCCCCCACCACCAGGCCAATAGAGCCCGTAACCCAGGTGCAAGCCCTGGGCCGGAATCGAACCCGGGACCCTTTGGCCCGAAGGCCCGCCCTCTGCCCACTGAGCCAAACCGGCCAGGCCGAGTGTAGTGTTGGGAGGTTTTTTGATCACCGGTTCCATCTTCTCTAAGTAGTAATCTGTCCAGACTTTCTATTTCTTTATGATTCAGTCTTGGTAGGTAGGTTATGTGTTTCCAGGATTTTTATTTTCTTGTAGGTGGTCCAGTTTGTTGCATAGAAATGTATATTCAAGCTTTTAAAACGAAAGGAAAGGCGGGAGAGCTTTCTAGGCAGAGGGAGCAGCGTGTTATCACGAGCCAGAGCCAGGAGGGAACCTTTCACGTGGACTATTCCGTAAAGGAGGATCGGCTTCCTCCTACTTGAGCTGCATACATGTTTTCACCGTAGAGGCCCCGTCGTTCCTCAAATCCCTGAGCGTGTGGTACTCGGCTGCGGTGGGGTAGGTAACCGTATTTTTTCAATAATTGAAAATCAAATCTTGGCCCAACTGGTGTGGCTCAGCGGTTGAGCTTCGACCTGTGAGCCAGGAGGTCACGACCTATGAACCAGGAGGTCACGGTTCGATTTCTGGTCAAGGGCACATGCCTGGGTTGCGGGCTCCATCCCCAGTGGGGGGCCTGCCGGAGGCAGCCGATGCATGATTCTCTCTCATCGTTGATGTTTCTTTTCTCTCTCTCTCCCGCTCCCTTCCTCTCTGAAATCAATAAAAAAATATTTAAAAAAAATCAAATCTTATTGTGTGCACAGAATTTAGAATTCAGTTCAGTAAAATCTGGGTAGTGCTGCTGGCGGGGGTGGGAGGAGGCAGGAAAGGGGGATGAATGAGGAAACCCTCCATTCTGAAGCAGCACTTAACATGGAGAACCCTATTTTACCAACGAAGGGTAGACAAGTCTTCTTTCTAGACGTTTTCCATTAAAACACAAAAAATATCAGCCTATAAAACAACAAAACTGTAGCATTGCCATGATATAATATCAGCCTAATGTGGTCAGATTCCTTACCAGTAACATCAAGTAGATTGGTCAATGCTCATTGAAATTTAGTCCCCCGTCCAGTTCTTGCCACCCCGCCCCCATCAACCCCTACTCACTGCATCTTATCTGCCTTAACCACATCATTTGAAGTCTTTTATCTATGACTTAATTATCAGGCTAAAAAAAAAAAATATGACCTGTAGCAGAGTTCTACAGAGGAGAGTTTATAATAAGTGGGCAATTGACAAAAGCGCGGCAGGTATTAAATATTCTCAGTGCTTCAGTGGGAACCTGGAAACTTGTTAGAAATAAAAATGATTGGGCCCCGTCCTGGAACTACTGTGTCTGAAACCCCTGGGGGAAGGCCCGCCCCCCCCCCCTCCCCTTCCTAGGGATTCTGAGGCCCATGAAACTTGAGCTCCATTGTTTTAAGAAAATGAGCCCCTGGGGCTAGGAACAGCCAGCACCTGCACCTGCTCTAGGCCCCCCAAGGTAAGTAGAAGGAGCAGTTCGGAAACTTGAAAGGGTTGCCTTCCTTTCTCCCTCCCTCTCCCTCTCCCTCCCCCCCACCCCCATCTCCTGTCGGAGCCTGTTGGGGCGAGGAGAAAGGTGATGAGTATAACCAGCAGGGCAAAGGGAAGGTACCCAGCACCACGCATGCTGTTGGGATGCGATCCCTCCCTTCCCTCCCTTTCAAAATAGGGTGGGAGGTGCTCTCGAAACCATAGGTGACCAGCTTTGACGGCCCTGGTGATTGGCCCTGGTGATCAGCAGGGATGTTGGGAACTTCTGTGCTTTGGGTGTCTGGGCCTTCTCTGTGCTTAACCGCCCCCACGAGCCTTCCCTAACCTTGGCCCTGACACCCAGGCCTCCCCCACCTCCCTCAACTTTCTGTAGAGTCTAACCAGACCCATTTTATTTATTTATTTTTTTAAGTAATATTTTTGTTGATTTCAGAGAGGAAGGGGGAGAGAGAGAGAGAGAGAGAGAGAGAGAGAGAGAAACATCAATGATGAGAGAGAATCATGAATCGGCTGCCTCCTGCACGCCCCCCCCTACTTGGGGTCAAGCCTGCCACCCGGGCATGTGCCCTGACTGGGAATCGAACCGTGACCTCCTGGTTCATACATAGGTCCACGCTCAACCGCTGAGCCACACCGGCCGGGCTGTAGCACTAGGATATACTTTTAAAGTGTTTTGTTTTTCCTATTGTAGGTTCTATGGAAGAAACACCTTAGAGATCCGTCGCATTTCCAAGGTTCCTATTTACCATTTGGAATCGTCCCACTTCCTGTCTGGAAGACAGATGTCGGCAGCCGAAATGAAGGATTTCTTGGAGGTTTTGGACCAGTTGTATAAGAAGGTACTTGTGGGAGCCACACTGGAGAACGACACCCGGGATTACATCTGCTGTCTCCGCCCAGCGTTTTCAGATCACAGCGGCTCTGGGACCGCCTCCTCCCAGCGCGCAATCACCCTCGGTGTCCAGGGCAAGTGGCCGCCGTCCCCTGTCCATCCGTCCCCCGTTCCTGTCGCGCCTGCGCCAGGGAAGAGCAGCGCCGGAGACTTAACGCTCCTTCGGTTGACGGTGATCCAGGTGATGGTGACCAGGATACTGTCCGTGGAGACCGAGTTCCAAGCGAAGGAGAAGTACAGAGAGATCATTGCAGTTCTTTTAAAATCATCGGACCTTGATTCCCAATTGGTAAGCCATTTGCTGTCTATTTTTAGAGATCTAGATTTAAAAAAAAAAAAAGTTTTAAAAGCATTCGACAGTAGTAGGTAAATTTATTTATTTTCCCACAGATCTGCATGTTCCAGGACTCGGATAAGTTGTTGTCTCACGTGGCTGCAAAATGCCTCGCGTGGCTTCTGTATTTCCAACTGAGGGAAAAGGTAAGTCCTCAGCCCATGGTATGATTTCTTTCCCAGGTTCTCTAAAATCGCTCTTTGGCACCCAGTTTCCCCCTTCCAGGAGTTGCATCCATCACGTGATTGCTAACCTGATAACCTGACTTGCATTAAGCATTCGGGTCTTCGGTACGCGGTAGCTCATTACAAATTAGACTCTTAACCTGAAGGGGGGTTCGAGTCAGTGAGTCCATGACTTCAGATTCTCAAAGGAGAAGGTGGGTTTCCTTCCGGCCCTCCAAGGAAGGGGTGAGGAACCCCTGCTGGAGATCAACAAAGACCGTCCTCCACGGGTTTGCTTTAAGCGGTTCTCAACCTGTGGGTCGCGACCCCTTTGGGGGTCGAACGACCCTTTCACAGGGGTCGCCTAAGACCATCGGAAAACACATATATGATTACATATTGTTTTTGTGATGAATCACTATGCTTTCATTCTGTTCAATTTGTAACAATGGAATTGGGGGTCACCACAACATGAGGAACTGTATGAAAGGGCCGCGGCATTAGGAAGGTTGAGAACCACTGCTCTAAGTGAGTTCTAAGGGCAGTCTCAGCAAAATGAAGAAAAGAATAAACGCATCAGATTTTTCTCTTATCTCTGAGTTAGTTACCAAACAAACCTCAGCACCTACTGACTTTCAGCTGTAAATGCTTGCTCCTTTCTGAAAATGACTTTTTTTTTTCCTGAATACAAAAAGGCAGGTATTTATTTGTATTAGAAAATTTTGAGAAATGAGAAAATTTACAAAGGACAAAATAAAATGTACACCTTTCACCACCTGGAGAGAACCACTGCTGATATTTTCATGTTCCCTTTTGATCCTTTATTTCTATGACATTGAATTTTTTGGCTTAAAGAATATTAGGATATTTGTGTCCTATTTTTTTTCCTTTGTGTGTGTGTGTGTGTGTGT